TGCTAAATGCAATAAAAATGTTCTTATGTGCTGTAACAAGTAATTTTCTCAAAAAGAAGTCTTATAGATTTGGGGAATTTTTGTCAATACCACAAGAAAATAAGGTATTTGCAGATATACGAGATGAGAAATCTTATTGGCATGGGTACCAAGTTAAAGTGCATTTATTTGCTGGTGAATTCAAAACGTCCGAAATAAAAGGATTGACACGTTCCTACAATTACGCAGAGGAGTGAAAATCAGTTGGAGAAATAAAAGGAAGGTGGATATAACCTATTTCTAAGGTAGTTTTCTTATACCTGTGAAGAAGGAAAATTTCAAATTGAAGAAAATCTTCTCTCTCAAAAAAAAAAATACCAGAAATTCATGACAAATTATACAGCTCATACACGGACACATAATTCTCATACCAAACACATGTAAGCACGAACCCGAACATATACATAATATAGACGGTCAATCGCGACACTCAACCAGGTACAAGTATGTAGGTTTTTTTTTTTAGAATATATGTAATTTTTTGGTATTTAATATGTATATTGTTTGTATATTTTCTTGCGATGCTGTGATCATTATGTTTTGTATTTTGATCTTCGTTTATGTAAATGACACAGATGGATACGTCGATTATGATCTTCTTCAATTACAGTGGGGAATGGATTAATAATGAGTATGTAAATTTTCAACCGTCTGGTGTCTTGGTTCAAAAAAATTGCAGCTACAGAGAGCTTTGTGATGCATTGAGAGAAAAAGTCAAGATAGTGTCTGATTCATCTACTCTTGAATTGAAATATAGCTTGAAGGATGGTTATCCACCAATGTGTCTTGATGATGACAGCAGCCTAGCTTTCTATATACGATTGAAATCGAATGAACCAGAATTCACCAAGTTTCCGATTTGCGTGGTGGTGAAGTCTCAGATGAATGGCCGTAACTCGCCCATGGTATCTCCAATTGTCCGTGATGTGGGTTACGAAACAAATGTGGCTCCTTTGAGGCATACGGAACTCGATAACTATGTATATATGAGAGAAGTACCATTGAACTTCATGGATTTCGCTCAATCTGTGGCTCAAGAGATGGTTGATACCATAAAATATACAGAAAATACACAGAACATATACACGGACAACGAAGTGATTGTCTCGAATGAGGTAAATTTGGAATCTAATATCGTTGTTGGTATGTTATTCACAGATAAACCAATGTTGCAGAGAATATTGACGATGCACGCTATACGGAATCAATATCAATTCAAAGTCGTGAAATCGTGCAGCAAACAATATTATGTGAAGTGTGTGTCTGATGAGTGCACATGGTTTGTGAAGGCATCCCGTGTTTGTCAATCAAGTACATTTAAGATAAGAGAGGTCGAGACTGATCATCATTGCGCATTGGATGTGCGTATGGGTGGACAGCGTCAGGCAACTT